AAAAAAAAAAAAAAAAAAAAAAAAAAAAAAAAACTGCTGAGATTGGGATTCGAAAAAGGTCATCGGCGATTATATGCCCTCACAAACCGACGCCGCGCACCGCCGTGAAAGCGACTTGCAGGGTCCTCGCCGTCGTTTTCCTCAGCCTCCTTCTTCTCCTTTCTGTCCTCCTCCTCGCCCGCTTCTCAATTGCCCGCTACTTACTATCAATGTCCGACGATAAAACAACGTGGGTCCTCAATTTACTCGTTTTTCTAGTGGCATTTTCAGCTCTCGTCAACTGCTTGACCGGATCTAATCCGGCGTTGCTCATCGGCGAACGGCGTCGCATTTGCGCCGCGTGGGCTCTGCTTTTTCTGATGCAGGCTTGTCTGAGTTTGGGGATTCAGGGGAAAATCGACGCTGAAATTAACAGCTCCGCGGAGGGTAATAATTGGGTTTTGCTGAAATTAACAGATCCGCCGGTTGCGGCGGATCTGGCAATGAATGGATGGGCGGCGGCAGGGGTTATCGGGTGGTGGTTGTATTATCTGACGGCGGCGGTGGGGGTGGTCAGGGCGGTAAGAGGTTTCGTGTGGGTGCTGACGTGGATTTTTAAATTTGTGCGAGTTGACAATAGCAATAAAAGCCCGAAATTGGGCCCAGAGGATGAAATTGCAAACATTAATGAAAGTGGTGTATATTTTTGCCAAGTTTAAAAGTGGTACATATAATTGCAATTTTCGAAAAGGTCATAGTTTTATTAGCAATTAGGCCTATTTTTAAAGACTTTGTGAATTATTGCGCACTCTGATTTTACAGTAAGGAGGGGTGTTACAATTGGTATCAGAGCACGTTTCTGCGTCTCTGATAAGTTTTTCAGACAGTAATTTTCCAGAAAAACCTGAACCGTTATGCTCACACCCCGCCGACGACAGGTAAGTGCTGATTGAGTTTTTTTAGTTATAAACATATTACTTTGTCTATGCTAAGAATTAAGGATCAGGACTTTAGTTAAGATGCTCAAATAAGGTTAAGACTTTAGAGTTCGGACATGACTCTAGAATTCAGGCATTCAGATATGACTCTAGACGTTAGGATCTTCCTATATGACTCTAGAGTTCCTCAGGTTTCACGTCAGTATTTATCGGCCACTTTTAGCTACTCGTCAAGAGATCTGTGTGCCTTAGTAATCAGTCAGTAATGTTATCACGTATTCAGTAATGTTAAACTTTTCTCAATGTTCAGATGCCGCCCCGTAGGGAACCCGATTACCCGACTCTTACTCAAGCCACAGTAGTCGCACAGTTCCGCGACTATCATGTTGGGAAATTCTCCGGGCGGGGAAATCCCCGTATCATGGGCAAGTGGATTCAGAACCTTAGAAAAGGATTAAGTTTAAGAACTCTAGATTCAATTCTCGATTCACTCAAGTCAAGTTAGCAACTCGTCAGAAGATTTGTAAGCACTCGTGCTAAACAAATCTTAATAATCATGCTTCTCAGATATTTTATCGAGAACTGCCATTTTGTCAATCAATTGGCACACTCTAGGGAGAAATTCCTTGATTTAATTCGAGGAATAGAATCAAAAGTTCCTAAGTCAAATCAGTAAGTCATGTTCAAGGCAAGAATTTTCATGTTAAAGGTTGTTACAATTCTCAAGTCATTGTTAAGGTAACGGTTTCCAGTGTATAAG